CAATTTTTTTTTCGTTCCTCTGGTCTGGCTGGCTCACCGGAAAAATGTTGACAGGCATTCTTCTGAACGAACAGCGCTGGTTCCTTAAGGCTGACGCTGAGGAGATTTTGCTGTGTTGCGCTGTCGGTGTGAGATTACCAATCATTATACAAGTTTGATAACTATCACAGAACATTTGGTGTCGAATGACGCTCAGAGTCTCATCGAATCGAGTATCGCCCGCATGGGGCTGAGGAAGAGAACACCGCGAAGTTCATTGACATTGTTTTACGCGAATGAGAAGGCGAAACGGCTGAACGTGTGACTAAAAGGCAGCTCGCCCATCAGAGAGCAAGTGAATGAATGAGTGAAGTCGGATGGTTTTCCGCTGCCGCCGGTCACATGCTCGGTTTCCGCGTGGCAAATTACCGACAATTTCTCCCGAAGATCTCTATCGGGCCCCTCTCATTATCGCAGCAGGCCCGCCTGACCATCTTTTCTAACTTGCTCCTTGTCTGCCCGCTGCTTGGCGGACCGAATGAATGGATGGGCGGACGAACGGCCAGTCGAACGAAAGCTCGAACGGTTACTGTCGCTCTCCCTACGGCGCGCGGCGGCGGCGGCGAATAGGGAGACACACAGGCTCAGTCGATTCGCCCAGTCACCTAGTATGTGGAAACGAAACCGGCGACGAGCATTGCTGCTGCCGTGACGGCTGTCACAAGCGACCAAAATTCGACACCGTAAAATCGTCACAATGCCTTGCGGTGGTCTCGTCTTTCGCCCTTCGGCAAACATTGAGCCAGACACTTGCTGAGATGAGCAGATGAAGAGAGAGAGGTAAAAGCGGAGCACAATAGCAGGCCGCCGCTGGCGCTGGTACGACATCTTCTGGCGTTCTCGGTCCAAGAGTTGTGCTCCTGTCGGCCTCTCGGTGTCGCTGCAGTGAGCGAGTCAGTGAGTGAACTTACAACTCATTCGGCCATGGCTCACTTACAGATCGCGCTCACAAGACATGCGAGACTGAGGAAGCAGCCGTTTTCACACCATGACGCAGCGAGAAACTTTTGTCTGCTGGCAGCGGTCTGACTTCTTCTGTTCCCTCATATTCCATGTGAAGGGCCTTCTTCTTCACTGGGGATCTTATTTCGGTTCGGGAGGGAGGAAACATACTCACTGACGTCCGCTCACAGACCGCCATCGAATGATTATTCTTCTGGAACGAACAAGGATATCGGAGTGTCTATGGCTCCTCGTCCTAAATCTCGTCAGGGCCCTTCCGTTGAAAAGTCGGCGTCGTGCCTGGAACTGAGCGTGATTCTCCCGGAATCGAACCAGCAGCCTCTCCATCGAGAAAAGATTGGGACTTGGAACGTAGACGCGAATCTGCGACTCATATAGGAAAATGCCTCGGCGCCCCCTCTCCCCAGCCTCCCGTCCGTGTCCATTATCCGGTCGATCGCGTGGATTCGAATTGTTCGATTGTCTCAACAGTGTGACGATCGAAAATGAAAACAATTGAAAAAGTCTGGGGAATAAAATATCACCGGAATTTTCACGGGGTGCTCGGGGTGGCCACCCAAGGAGATCGATCGTGATCCGCCCAGGGTGTTCGGATGGATTTGCCCGCGCCGCGAGCAACAGAGACGTGTTCCGTCGTTGGAGAGAGCCAGCGGTCCGGTACGCAATGAGTCGATCTTTATAGACTTCGTATCTGAACGCCGACTTCTGGGTGGTCTGCCTCGCTCTCCGCGCATGTATGAGCCCGAATTCCCGGGCTCATTCATCTCGCGGAAGGGCCTTTCCAAGAGGGTGGATTTTGTGCAGCTACAGAAGGGCGATAGGTACCTGTTACAGGATGCTCCCGTTCCGCAGTTGTCTGAAAATTTCGCTGAACACTCGTCAACGTGTCGAGGCGCCCTTCTCCTCGCTCGACGATGCAACCGACGGAGACTCTCTGCGAAGCGATGGTAGAACTTCGAATCGGAGTCTTCCCCACGCATCGGAACAGAGAATAGAGCACGAAAAAAGAGAGCAAGTGAAATGACATTCGTGAGGGATCAGAATATCTTTGGAGCGTGTTCAGATTGTGCGATAAGGCATGAAGCGCATCTTCCGCGGGGAGTTTCTCTCCATTTCCCTGAGGCCGGCTGTATAAATCCGTCGGTCCGACGTGTTTCCCCCGAATCTCTCTACTCTCCAATCTGTATAAGAATGTCTTCCAACTTTTTGCGGTCTCCCAGTCGGGAGTCGAGACTCGATGGAGCCCGCTCGATTCGGCGCGTCGCCGTCGCGCCCTCGACGTTCCAAGCTACGATTCCTGATCGCGGGAGCAAGCAACAGCGGTGTCGAGAAGAGAGTCATAGGTTATCGAAGAATCGAGATACAGAGACGGCTGTCCCTTCCTTTGAGTAATTAATATGGTATGTACAGCACGCAGCTTTCAAGCGTGGGAGGTGAGCTATAGCGTTCCGAGGCCAGATGTGATTGGCGCGAGACTCTTTCGTATGGCAGAGCTCCGAAGTTTTGACGCCACGGAGTTTCGGGTGGCAGCTCGGAAGTAAATCGGTTTCGCCACCGAGTCACTCATTTATTTCTCGGGGAGCGACACACTCACGCGGAACTCCACTTAATCATTACGGTGCTTTTCGAAGTCGCACTGACCAGAACTCGTCGCTCGACTTCAAGTAAAACGGAAAATAAGTCCAAGCGAGAACGGAGAAAATAGCTTTTGTTGGCTGCTTCCATCGTCTCGAGATGAATGGAGTTCCGCTCACGTGTCTACAGGGCATTTTTCCCTTAATGGTCCAGATTTTAATCCGTTTTCGTTTCTGCCTTTGTTTGGTGGTGGTTTTTCGAAATCCGATAAATCGCGTCGACCGGAGGAACCGTAATCGTGATTGCGTGATTTTGGCGTTTCCCTGGTGGTTAAAAAGGCAGCATTCCGTCTTACATTCAGAGATTGTCATTGCTCGAGATATTCGCCGTATTTTCAAGCGCAATCATAGCTTTTCCAGGAATCCAATCGACTATTCGACGAGGGCAATCGTTTTCCTCGCCTTTTCTCGAATCTCCCGCATATCCGTCGGGAAGGCAAGCAAGAGTTTACAATAAATATAGCGACTAGATCGATGTGCTCTCCGTTGTGATCTGGTAAAAACAGCCTGCGACGGCGAACCGAGTGTTAAGAAACGTAGAGAAATGAGATGAAATGGGTCGATGTTCTCAACTTTCGGGGTCGGCTCTCTTCTGGCGGCAGACGGGCTCTTTAACCCGGCTATTCGCTTCTAGGAGGGTAATGCTCACTGCTCTGAGATCTGCACACGCTGTAAGAATCGAGATCGTGCATCAACTCTGCATGACATCGGGAACGAAATTCTTTATCCTTCGGCTCCATCCATCACCGTGGCTCCTCTGAAGTTCAGTTAAATTCTTCATAGGGCTCAATACAGACTTGTGACCCCTGGTGATCCGAGATATCGGCATCGAGTCGCTCAGTGACTTGCAGCCATCGGGGGAATCCGCCTCCCAGATTCATGCATGAATGTACAGGAGACTAAATGAGACGAATCTACAGGAACTCTTCTTTTAGGTCCTCCTCACCCTGTATCTATTCTGGACTTGGGTCACTTCCCTGTCGCTGAGCACAGAACTCAATATCTTGCATCCTGTCACCTCGCGCCACTGAATTGATGCCGGCGGGTCGGTCTCCCGGAAAGTGTTCCCGAACCTACCAGTGTGAAGCGTTTTTAGGGTTCAGAGACGACAAACGGCAGACCCATAGGAGGAGCCCGGCTGGTCGAACTACCCACGGACGACGCATGATTGAAATTCCCGGTTGTGAAATGATCCACAACGAAAAGGGTGTGATCAACGCCAAACGCCGGCAGATATTGCGTGAGGAGAAAACTCGATTCGCCGGCGTGGATTCCTATTAAAACAGTGTCCGATTTCATCGAACACCCTCATCGGCGGACAGAGAACCGCGTTGATCCGAGTTTGTGACAGACAAGTCGGTATCAGAGGGATCGCAGTGCTGGCGAGGATCAATCGGCTCCAGCGACATTTGCCGGAGGTTCCCTCAGCGTAAGAGGGAGACTCCTTTTATCATTTCTGTGTTTTTTTGGTGTCTGAAGTGACCCGACCCGAAAAAGATTATGATGACAGCTCGAGCGAAAATGTTGGAGATGTCCCTTTTTATCTCATCGATTATTATACGCCTCAGCTCACTTTCTTTTACTTGGGACGTTACTGTCAACATGCTGACCCAGTACCTGAGGAGCCGTTCGAATGTTCGGTGCCTCCCTCTAGAGAATATCCGACGGATTTCCCGGATAAATCTGATGGAGTGGGGCATCCCAACCGATAGAGTGCCCGGCAGAGGGACGTCCCGCCGTGGCACGGGATTTTCTCTTGTTCATGAGCGAGGCTCCTCAAGTTCAGGAACGCATCTGCATGAATGGCCGGACAAATTCCCTGTCATGAAGATGACTTGCCATCTCAAAGCATTGGGTTCCCTCTCCGAGCTTCATCCCGGGTTGCTTCGCCATAGTGCCGAGGATTGTGATCCAGAGAATATATGTAGTCTCGCTTCATCTCCGGACCTTTCCCGATTTGAATTTGAAAAAGTTGCTGAATGACTTTTTACTGACGGCCACTCTTGCACATTCGTTCATTCAGTCACCCTCTACTCCACGCACGTCGCCTCGTAATGAGGAGAAGTCTTCCACGTAAACCTTGACTAATCCGTCATGGATTTCGGGGTCATGGAAAAGCCCGAAAACATGTCTCGAACGGAGCGGCAAAGACGCGCCGACGAGCTCATGTCCGAGAACTTTTTCGATACGCTTGGATTTTTCTAACGGTGTCTTCCTCCGCCCGCCGACGCCCTTTCCCGCCGGCGGAAAGGAAGCTCTGTTGCTTTCTTGCTTACTTGCTTGTCCCGCCAGCAGACTGCTCGACCGACTCGCAGTATCGGGCGGCATCACAATTATTGCTCCATTGCGCCTTGAGGATCAGCTCGCGCGCACATGCCGGCGGAAGATCTCACGTGAACAAACTCGAATTTCCGCTTGATTCAGCGAGCTCAAGTTTGCAGTCGAAATGTAGACACCGAAACGAGGAGAGGTGCGCGCATCATCAGCGCTCTGAGAAGGTGGTTCTGTGAATCCGTTGAGTGAAGTTTTCTAAAAATGTCTCGACGTACGTTATTGATTGTCTTCCTTGCGCTGTGGATTTACGTTCCGACTTCTGGTCATTTTCTCCACCAACCGGACTCGGGGCAGAAACGGGTGAGTAAATTCTATGGACCGGTACATGTCTGGCGAAAAGCTTCATTCTGATTCGCCTACTGAGCGGTCATCAGTAATACTAGATATACATGATCTCTTAATCATTCCGTGAGATGACACCATCTGCGGGCGGCAATGTTGCTCTTGATAGACTCTCCTCCGAAAATGACTTCGGAAAGTAGTCATAGAGTTCATGCATCAAGCGTTCATCAATTCATCGGCCTCCATTTATTCATTCGACCGATGGAGTGATCCATCGATGACTGATGTATGTCCGAACTATGAAAAACGTCATCATCTCATCCGCGGGCATATGCAGCTCGATAATGCGATAGAAGACACCGTGGCTATTTGGAGAAGAATAGCCACGGTGAGTTTTCATCATTGAGTGTTCATCCATCAACGCGGTCGACTATCCATGTATCCTGAGTCCATGCCGGCTGATCGAAGCCCCACTCAGACCGCCCTTCGGAGGAAAAGAATTCGACGGGAGAAGCCCCCAATAGTCGGATAGCGCTCCACATGCCTATGACAGTGGGACTTTCGGAGCGACAGCGATCACTGCTCTCCGTCGGCTGAAAATCTAGTCAGGGAGTGACACCGGGGAACCTCTCCAGAGAACTCGGTGTCGAGCCAACGTTTCCACGATAGAGTGTAACGACTACCGATCGTGTATCGGCCAACCGACTGAACTGACCTACCAGGGAAGCTGAGAGTGTTTGTTGCCGCTTAATACAGCCAGTTCAATAGGATGGTCTCGATGGCAGAGTTACGTGTTTATGATCCTGGCTTATGACTCGTAGAGACGAACGAATGCACCCGACTCGGGAGATTCCGACCTCACGTGACCGACTTGAAGATTGAGCGACTCGTTGGGGAAGAGAGCTTCCGAGTCGGCCCGGAGTTCATCTATTGCGCCCTCTCGTAGCTCGATCATGCTTCGAACATCCAATAATTCTGAACGCCCGCGCTGGTGTGTCTTGCTCTCCCTGAGGAATGTGCGAATATGTTGTTGGCCCTCAGAACTGTCTTCGAAAAGAGCAGCTGCAACATTTTCTGGACGGAGTGACCTTCATCGACGGAAGGCAGTCAGCAAGAGCTTCTCGATGAAGAAAAGTTAGAATCTGGCAGATAGCGGGAGCCGCCTTGCGAAGTCTCGGCCCGAAATGCTTGTGGATCTATTCGGTTGTAGAGTTGGGAGAGGCAATCTCCTTAGAGATTCCTGCATGCTTGACTCGTTAGTCGTTGTTCTGAGCTGCGGAAAAAAACTCTGATCACGAATACAATGCTGGAAATAAAATCGAAATGAGTGCCATCAAGCTTATGCTCTCCATCAATCATGTTCGCTGGACGGCATTTCGAGCGGTGGACCCTTTGAAGGTCTGTGCTCGGTGGACGACGAAGGATGTCAGACTGCACGAAGTCTTTTGCCATCAATAACCTACAAGGACAGATCCGTGCTCGTGATAGCTTGGCGGGATGCACTCGCGGGAAGAGAATTCGAGTCGGTTCCAGGGGTCCCAGAGCGAGTCGCTTGTCTCGAGATTTCGATTCTACTTCTCACGGCAGGGCTATCTTCGAGGACGACAGATGTCTGTCCGGATCCGAAGACTATGACACAGCTCTTAACGAGATTCCGAAGTCCGCACATCGAAGCCCGCTGAACCTACGAGAGCTTACCGACGCAGCTCGGACCTCTGGTCAAACCTGGAATTAGTCACTGTCATCCGCGCCCTTTCCCGGATGCTTTTCTTGTCACGCCAATCCTGAGATAGGATACCACATACACTAATAGGATCGATGACTCCGAACGTCTCAGTAATTGCTAGTGTCGTGGTGATGTTCGCCAGTATCTTACTGGCTTCCCTCGGGAGCACAATCGAGAAAATGCCGGAGCATCCGCGTTTTGTCGGCAGTCCCTCGCTGACCCGAGGAATCGTACAGCTATACTCGCTGTCACGTTTGAACAAGCGATGCAATAAACTTTCTATCTCATCGACACCTCCTCCTTGACTCTCAGATCAGCGTTCCGTCGTTTCAGGCTTCCCGCTCGCCTGATCCGAATGGGAGGATCTTTGTTGAATTTATAGCTTTTGGGGAAAAACGATTGTTATGCTCTGAGCTCCGCATCCAACAGTCAAATCACGGCGGAGTCCCCGGTGCGGGGGTGCATCTCGTTTCGAAGTTCACGGCAGACGGCGGAGGCTTCGACAACGCTTTTTAATCGAAGTTTACTTTGGATACTGAAGGGTTACGGAGTGAACCCGCAAAGCTGGTTACTTCATTTAGCGCTGATTCCCTTCTATTTTATTCCGGAATCATGTGATCGAGTCGTGACGGCCTACCGACTTTACAGCAGAGAGGCGCACGTTCACGCTGTTCTGCAGACGTTATCGAATTCCTAAGGGATGGGGTATCTCCGATTCCGACTATTATGGAATCGCTCTTCATTCAGCGGCGGCTCTCAGGAGAACAGCTAATGATTTCAGATGCGAAAATAGGCGTTCGAATTCGAGGAGATGCGCAGCCAAAGAGAATCATTCGTCTTGAGCTCTCATGTCAGACCCGTATCCACCACAATAGAGTCGATACGGGAGCCCCGGAAAATATACATGTACGAGTGGCCGCATCCTCGCACCCCTCTCCGGAGTTTCTTAAGAATCGATCTGCGATAAGCAGTTCTTCGATTCTTGTGGCCGCCGTTCCCGATTGATCAGAAGAGATCCGGCGCCTTTCGCTCGTATCCCGAAGTCTCGCTCAAGTCGAAGCCTTTAACAATTCAAGGACATCGGAGTCTACTGAAGTCGCTTTCCTAAATGGAGCTTATGGGAAACAGGGTGTGCGGGGGCCCGAGCGGTTGCTGTTACTCAGGTCGTTCAAGTGCTCAGACTTCATTGGTTTCTCCTTCTTAAACCCGAGGCTTCGACCATCACCTGATAATCGGGAGAGGGAAGGGGTCACCCGCAAGCGGTTTCACGGGATGGATCACGAGAAGTTTCCACTTCATAGTTATGTTCATTGATTTGGTCATAGAATCGTCCATCTCAGCTCAGCTCTTTGTCCGCCGCGGTAGGATTCGAGTCAACCAGTTATGATTTGTTTCACTCGCTCACATTCCCGTATACTCGTTTCCGATCTCGATCCCCATGTGGATATCCGACGGTCCGCTGCTGATTTCAAGACGAGAAATCTTCGCCTTATGCATAGCAGTACCTGTAGAGCAGAGAACAGCAACTGCGCTGTTCACTCGAAGCGTCTGCCACGGGCCAGAGAATGGGGGTGTGCTATCAAACCCGCGATGACAGAACAAGGGGCGCGAGTCCCTGACAGTCGTCAGACATTCTTCACAGATATCAATCTCAGATGAATCCATGTCGTGATTGATCGAAAACACCCGTATCCAAGCCGAAGAGCCTTGAGGAATGACATTATCGAAACTCAAACTCCTTGGCGGAAGGTCCCTAGCTAACTCGAACAATCTCATCCCGCTCGACAGCAGGAGTCTCATTGACTCATTTAGGAGAGTCACGCCTCGTAGATTCAAAGGAGGAATCTCCGCTCGGATAGAATTATCCCGAGAGATAAACTATCTCTTGAAGATTCACCGATCTGTCGTGAAAAGGAAGAACGCACATGAATGCGGCGAGAGAAGAAGGACCGCAGGAATTTAGTTCTAAAGAATTGAATGGCCCGATTACATTTCCGGGAGAAAGCGTTCTCTGAATGTGCTCCGGTCGCTCCATGTCCTTGACATGAATGTGGTTCCGCGCAGATTGTTTTCCGCGGGAACCATTCCAAGAGATAGATGGCTACTTTACGTCGGGTCCTAATTCAGTTAGATGTCATCAGTTTGTTTCTCAAGCTTCGACGTACGGTATCTCAGCCAGTAGGAGTAGAAGAACAAACATGGACAGAGGGAGCGTTCGCGAGGAAGGAAAGAAAATCTACGAACCGACAAGACAGTCATCTTTATTAAGAGCTTGATAATAAATCGTGTTCGCGTCAAAAGTACGCCCACGAATCGAACGGCCGCATTGTGAAAAATGCGTAAAGAAGAGCGAGCGAAAGATAGGGCAGGAGAAACGAAGAAAGACATTCTGTCTTTAGGAAGTGTTAGGTCTTCTCTAAAAAGCACGGAGGAGCCATTGTTGTTCGCTGGGTCGCCTTCCTTATTTATATAAAAACTCACTAGCCAACTTTCTGTTTATACATCGAGATTCCTCAAGTCGTAAGCATAAGTGTCGGGAACTTCACCACACAAACGCAGTTGGAAAACACGGAGCTCCATCCGAACACGGCCCTTGGCTGACTTCTCGCAGTCTATTCCTATAGTGACGGATCGATCGGGCCTCGGCCCAGAATATTCGACCCTCTCGCTAAAATATATTCGAGAGCAGCATCATTTGTTGGTGTTAGGTTTTCTCCAGTCCTACAGCGATTGTTGATCAATCGATTCATCAACAAATGCGGGTTCTCATTTTCCTTCATCGACTAAGGTGCCTTCATCCCGATAGGCGAGCTCTGAATATGATACATTATAACTGTTAGCGGGAGTTCTACTGTTGTTTCACAGAGTAGTCCCTCGAGATGGGAGCCCCCGCTAGTCGACGGGTCTCTCTTTCGAGACGAAAATGACATTGACGAACCTGATTTTGATTGGGGTATTTGACTTGATGCCCGTCGAGCCAAGGCAGATGAGTATGTAGCAACGTGTTCGGACGTTCCGCCAGGGGCATCATTATCGAGTTACTAATGCCATCCGAGGGGAGCAGCCCCATCGGATTCGTTCTCGTACCCTCAGCCTGATCTCCCCGAGGCAAAGGGGTCTGGATGAACAGAGAATTCATCCGATCACTGCAGCAGCTGTTGATTCTACGGGGCTCCGATACCCAGCCCTGCGCTCGCAGGGCTGAAGTCCCTCGCCTTGAGAAGAACGGCAGAGCCATATCATCGATGTCTCGTGATTTGATGCAATTAGAATACCGAAATCGCCAACAATAGATATCATGTACAAGGAGGAATGCTCGGGAAATGAGGCTCTCCAGCTGAATCGACGCTTTGGTTCTCCACAAGGCTCGCTATTGTCTGCGGTTGAAGGAGGTCCCTTGTGATCCGAAGTTTCGACGAGAGAGGTCAGCCATCTAACATATTTTCTTCCTTCTAGCAGAGGCAGCCGAAAAGTCCTGCAGCTCCGGAGATTTCCCTGAAGGGTAGGCTCTCACAAAATACCCAATATCTGGTGAACTCATATACATTCACTTAATCAGATAGATGCTTAAATCGGTAGATTAATTACGATCGCCAACGTCTCGCGAGTCCATGAACGATCCGTATTTTCATTTTCTCCCAGATTTTGTGTCGACCTTCGAAGCCAATAGTCACTACCGTACTATGCAGTCGAGGACCAAATGTCGGGAACCTCGCCCAGTGGTGGTCAACGTCATGCAGGAACACCACAGCGACAGCGTGAATTACCTCCCACGATGTACAATACTTCACAGGTATCTATGCACTAGGAACAGGTTCGACGCAGAGTAGTGTAAATCGATAAAGAGCTCACGTCGCTCTCAGTCGGATTCCGCCGACAGTTGGGAGAGGTTGGCGGACTCTGATGAATTACCATGCCAATCACTGTCACCCGAAATGTCGCCCCTCGGATCACAGTGTCAAGACTTTCAGAGCCCGTGGTTTCGCGGCTCCTCTCCGACGGGACCGCACCGTTGAGGAGCTCTCGGTTTAAAGGTTCCCAATCTCAGCCTCATGCTCAGCTGTGTCTCGAGAATGAACTTTCGAGACTGAATAAAGTCGATTTTCCCCCAGGTGTGATGCGGAGGCTGGCTGCTGCGAGAGGGGTCGATCTTGTGCATGGAACACTCGGGAGCATGTGGACCTCTATTTCTACGCCATCCCGACGGATACTAACCGTACGGAGAATCAAATAGTGAAACTCATTTTCACGAATCATACTTCTTGTGCGTGCAAGGAGGACGTCGAATTCAACGAGGTAGAGGATGAAAAGAATTCCGAGGATCTGACCGGACAAGACGATGACGACGAGGAGATAGGGTAGGATAATCACTCGGTCCCGTAGAGAAACCATGTCTGGGCCACACGGTTCCCTTGCAATCTCCGAAGATCGTCGCAGCAGTGGACGATTCACGGTGGACTTATCTAACACATTTCTTCATCAGCTCGAAGCCCTGCCCACCGCCATTCTCGCGACGCGTCTTGAGTGAACTCCAGCAAACTTGTGACTGCTTTGACGGAGAAGATGAGTGCATTCGCATCAAGATGGGATCTCGCAGGCTTGATCCAGCCGATAAATGGGAGCTCACGAAGTGAGTCCACCGCCGATGCATAAACTAGCTCCGGTCTCCCTCGGGGTCTCGTCCGCGAATGATTTCGGCCAAATCTGTTGCAACGAAAATTGTGTCGCCCTGTCATGGGAGACATCCTGCGTACGGATCGCGCTCGCAGCGGGTGCAGAACCCGGAGACTCAATCGAATTTCGCTCACGTGTGACCTTTGATGTTTCAGTGCTGTCCGTCGAGGAGAATACGATCCCCCAGCGTGCTACACGGGATCTTTCGAAACTCAGACCGGTCTCTGCCCTCGAGCCTGTAAAGAAGGGTCTGTTTACAACCTTCGTAAGAGGCGATGCGTTGAGAACCACAGAACAAAAAGGAGACGTTTCGGACGCAATCACTCACGGCGTCATCTAGCTCCGAGTCGACACTCAGAGCGAAAGTGAAGATTCTCGGTTATAACGACCGTGGGTTGATCCATTTCACTATTCTCAGGAACAATCTCGAAACCCCCGGTGTCCGTCGCGGGAGGCCAATGGTTCAACTCTCTCCCTTGTGTATACTCCATTAAGAATGAGATCGGTTCCGATAGGGCTTGTATGAGAGCATGTAAGAGAATAGGTGCCCGGGAGCAAGCTCAAGCTCCGGCGCGAAGAGCGGGTAATGACTGAGCTGCTTTGGATTGGATTCCGACTGTATGATAGACCCTGCTTTCACTGGCAATCAGCTCCTTTCGATTGCAACATCACTACGAGAACAATTCGCTCGCCCGAAGAAAAAATCGGTTTTGCCGTATTGTGATCAGGAAAATGTTGAATGATCAATCTTTCCTGGAGGATCAGCAGGAACTCTCACTGCTCTGTCACCGTGCAGATCGCCAGCCGGGACTTCGCTTGGACCGTATCGGGGCTTCGATTTCACTTTCTATGCGGACGCCTAGCTCTCCGATAGCTTTGGGACTCCTGTCGGACCCAATCGACCTCCCATCTCTCATCAAAGACAGGTTGATGTCTCTCCTTGACGATCGGCTTGCGAGGAAATGCGCGCTGTGAACGATTGGACACTCGAAAATTCTGGATTCGTACATAACGCCAGCGAGGATCACTTTTCGAATGTTAATTTTAAGTCGAAGAATACAATATGACGATTTGATTACGGACAGTCTGATCAGATCGAGTTTTTATTTGGAACTGATCTATAAGCGAGTGTCTATGAGGTGAGACTGAATTCCAGATCTGTAGACGTCAAAGGTGAGCGCTGCACCGATGATGCGATATGACGATGACTACTCATGATCTGGAAGCTCCCGGCGCGCCCCATTCGGTGCTTCAACTGTAATCATTGATGATGATGATGATGATGAATGGAGGAGATATCATTTTCTTGGATGGGAGTCGACGCTGTCTTCGAGATAGACTGACTTCCAAATACTACAGTTAAATGACAATCGTTCATCATGATGCTGCTGAACTCCGTCGTCTCTTTGAACGCGAGCGTACAGAAGAATTCAGAGCATGGGCTCCGGAGAGATTCGGTGAACGCATCAGATTGTGGATTATGAGAGGCGATTCGGACGGCTGGGGATCAATTCCTCTCATCACGTTCTTCGAGGATAGCTTTCGTCGATCTCGGAGATCTAGGAGATCTAGAAACCTCCAATCGGTCCATAGCAGCAGTTTGCTTTTTGGCATTACCGAACCATTTCTGCACGGCGTTCTGCACCCCCGGACTGAGTTGCTCGAAGAGTGCCGCGAAACTTCCGTCGATCACCTTGAAGGGAGAAGAGAATATTCAGAATGGTCTCCTTCCGCGCACACGTAATACCGCCAAGCCGGAGATAGAGGAGTCTGAGGGAAGGATTCCCGACTTTCCCCAAGCCCCGACTAGAACATGCCGCTCACCTTTGGAGTCATTGGAGTGTTGACTAGCAGCAAGGACGAGCCGAACTCGGGAGCTTGTTCCTTGATATCCGCGAGTTTGATCCGCGGCCTTGAGCCGGCAAGGACCGTATCTGCTGTGGCTTTTATAAGTTTCCAGTCATTGTGTATATCCTCCTCGGAAGTTCTCGCCGACGTGACGGTGAAACGAATAACATAGATGCCCCGAAGCGATGCCGGAACGCAATGGATACGCCCCGAGGAATTCAGCTTCTTCAGGAGCATCTCTGTCAATATGTTCGCTCCACGGAGTCTGCAAACAATAATGCTCCCCTTCAATGATCGATTCATACGCCTGATATTATTCGACCTCTGGAGAGACTTCTCAGAGGATGCCTCCTCACGGTTCGGAGATAGATGGTGTCTGATGGAAGTACCTGAAAACGACCATGCCGAGGTGACGCTTCGCAGGGATCTCAAATCTCTGATCGACGGAGACGAGATCCTCGAAATACTTCGCGAGGTGAACACCACGCCGAACGTGAGTCTGGAGGCCAGAGACGCCGTGAAGACGGATGACGAACCACAGCTTCAGGCTACGGAATCTTCGCGAGAGGGGGATTTGCCAATGCTTTTGAAGAATTGCGAAATTTCAGAAAGCAATGCACGATGACGATTATTTCCCGACATTGGTCCCCATTCACCGGAACAGCTCGAGCCCCTAGGAATTGATTCTCACCATGTAGTCGACCGCGAGACCGGTATTTTCGTGCTGGAGATACAAAGGATCGACGTTGAATGTCCGATGGAGAGCTCTCGAATCTTGGACCCTTCCCGAGTGAAGAATCAATGTTAGGATGGAGTCATCGGTACTTCAATTTGAAAAAAGCGTCTTAACGTTTTACGTGTAATAGGGAAGAAAGCTCACCACATCGCACAACAGTCGAAATGAACCATCATCCATTTTGACGGATTGAAGGCGAACGTATTCGCGAATTCCACCCCTCTCAGCCATTCGCGGTACTCGGGACAGATAAATGCAGTTCCGGCGTAAGCGGCGTCCACATGAAGCCACAGATCATTCTCGCGACCTTGAAATTGCTCTCGACTTACGGTAAACTGTCGACTCAAAAATCGGTCGAGGCGTCCAACTCTGTAGTTTGCCCGGGACGTGCCTTGGGGAGAGGTGTCTCATTTATTGTGGCCGGGGAGTAACTCACAGATGTGCCCTATAACTTCGAGGTCGTCGAATGAGCAAGATCCCGTCGTTCCCAAGGTAGCACAAACGAAGAACGGTATCAGACCCGCTTGCCTGTCACGCTCGATCATCTCTTGGAGCACTGAACCTCTCATTGAGTATTCGTCATCGCATTCGACGTAGCTTATCTTCACGAGGCCTGTCGACAAAAACTAGACACATAAGTTCGGGAGCGATGGAATTGTTAGGAAACAAGGATGGATCGATTCGGGGCATCTAATTCCGTTTGTGCATGCGATGACTCTGACCTATGAGACCCGCTTTCTCGACAGACGAATGCGCTTGGTCTGAGCAGTAGGCGACTAATTTGCCCATGATTTGCCAATCCTCTGTGGCAAGTTTGCTTCGCGAACGTTCCTTCCGGAGCATTTCACTCCGGGCGGCCAACAGTGAGCATAAAGTTGCCTCGCTGGCTGTAGTCTGGGAACGTTGTCGGAGAATCAAAAGTAGAGGGCCGATAGTGATATTCCATCACTTCCGAAAATTCACGGGGGCATTCCGCGAGTACTAATGTAAGAGAAAGGAGTTCGACGGCGACTCCTCCAGTCGTTTGACATGCATACCTGTATGACTCCACCGCCTCCGGTTTCATTTGAATGGAGGAAACATTTGGGGAGTCCGAGCATCTTCGCCAGCCAATCCATCACGATGACCTCGAGTTCGGTCACCGCTGGAGAGGAGGCCCAGGTGAATCCGAGACAATTTAGGCCATCCGCTAGCATATCTCCCAATAATGACGCCGGACAGTTCAACGCTGGGAAGTAGGCGTGCATGTGGGGACTCTGCCAATGGGTGAGCTGCACGGGCCGAGAGGAAGACAAAGGCAGAATGAGGAGGACAGCTTCGTGTCAGACTGTCTAAAATTTGTTTTGGAAAGTTGTCCATCCTGGAAACGGCCGCAACATTGATGCGGAGAATAGCATCGTTTCTGAGGAGGCAATGATCCTGATAGGATAGCCGGCTCACCCCGGGAATGATGACATTATAAATGTCGTGGATGACGCTGTCCCACTCATCGGCTGAAGTTGGTGCGTCCTCAGGCACGAGATCCAACATGTAGCCTGGCTTCACATCGGGGAAAACTCGACGTTCGCCGACGGTTTCGAGGTAATCCGCAATAATGTCGACCATCTCTTTCGCTGTGAATTCGATTTTTTCCGAGCTAAGTGAGGCGATTCTTCAAAATTTTCTCCACAAATTGAATGGGCAGCGCTTTCTCGTAGCCGGTCTCCGCCTATGAATAGGAGGGACTTACCTCTTTTGCGGTATTCGTTGAGATCCATCTTACACCGATCGCGGTCAGCCGACGACTGAAACTATCGCCGAAGTTCTCCACGCTCTTCGGTTTCTTCTGGGTTCGCTTGCACGAAGCGCGGAGATCCCTCGTTGTGCTCACGCCGCTGTAGGTGCCTGCGCCGGCGACGGAGCACTCGGTCGTTGATCGTATGGCCAGCTGCACAGAGTGCAGATGTCTCGACTGTCGGAATGTGAATGGACTGACGAGCCACCCTTGGGAGTGGATCACCTTACCACCGGATCGTGAATTTACGCCTTGATCTTTCCCGTCTATCCGTAGAAGGTTCCGACGGAGTTATATTTAGAAGAGCACACCGATACTAGCTCGGTGGTCGAAACCTCCGAGCGAAGTCTGTAGATCCGCAAAGCACAGGCTCCACAGTGCTCACTGCTCTCTGGAACCGCTCGCTGGCTATCCCGAGGAAACCCGTTTAACTATGAGACATAACACAGAGCTAAAAAGTTCTGGACTGTAATTCGTGGAAACTACATAAAACTCACGCGCAGACTGTGCCCTTCCAGTGTCGATTAGAGCCCGGAGCTGTTGAATTTTCTTTACGAGGTATGTTGACGTCAGAACACACTTAGCTCCTTTTCATCATCGAGGTGTGAAATTTACTAGTCACGGGCAGTGCATGACCGATCATTTCGTCAAGGGCCGCACGTATTTTTATCGGTAGACTCTCTCCAGCAGATGGAATCCCCGATTTTTATCGGTCGATCATTTGAGAGGTTCCGACATTTCAAATTGAGGAGAAAGAGCATGTCCGTCAGTGCCTTCCTGAGAACCTTCAGCCGGGAGAGAGATGTTCGCAGTTGTCCATCCTGTCGAAAATTGAACTGCCCCAAAGCCCCTTCCGACATGGGAGTAACAGAACTCTTGATGGGACCTCTCAGAGAATAGCAACAGTAGAGCTAACTCCACAATCACGAATAGCCCCGTTCTGATTCGCGGTCTGCTACAGGCGACAGAGTCCGACATCTGCAGCAGAGCGGTCGAGCACTCTGACGTACGTCCCCGTGTGGCTGGGCGGATGCACGGAGCTCACGTCTCGTGGAGCTGCATCGAGCAGGATCTATCTTCATGAGAGGAGCAGAAACGGCTCGGATATCACGGAGATTACACACCTCGGCGCGAAACTCTAAGCCGAAGTGACTCGCATGCCGCGCGCTGTATTTGAGGCACATTGGTCGAGAATGCTCGCTGCCTGGAAAGGCGGGGAGCATTGGACGTCGATAAGAAATACGAAGAATATTCTCCGAATTCCCATTAGAGGTAGGCATTACTTTAGGTAGCTCATCTCAGTCGGAGACTGCTCGATTAATATTGACGCGTCTAGCTATTTGTGAAGGGAGGAGGCGAAAGAGATGGGAAGCCCCAGGTCATCCTATAATCGACAAGATGACCCGGGACTTGGCAAGGACCAGTGGCATATAGCATCTTCACCTCCGTGTATTGAGTTCCACACCGAGAAGTGTTTCCATTCGATCAGAAGAAATTATGGGTGATTATCGAGTGAATAAATGTCAGAGCTTAAAAAAGAAGGTTATCTCGGAGAAAATTGCGAGGAAAATCCAGTCCCCTCTCCCTGGGGGAATCCTGGCGACGCGCCTGTACATCGCGTACTTGCTCGCGCGATTGATCGGCTAAATGAATTCTTCCCTCGACTTTGCGCGCTTATCGGTGGGCCATCCAACACTTTTCGGATCCCTTTGAGCAGACGAGAGAACGACCGCACAAAAAAGAGCACGAAGCCCGCTGCTGAATATACCTTGATTATGACTGTTTTTATTGATGTTTTGGTTGACAGAGGGGACCTCCAGGTCTTTCGGCTTCTCTGGAAAAAGTTCTGGAGTCGGGCGTGTTTTTGACGAAGTTCCCTCGTTCAGCGCGCCTCTGAACTCAGAGACAAGCGAGCGTTTAATAATTGACTGGGCGGTCATTAGTTCGCGCTAAAAAATTTGCGTTCCGCATGGCTGCCCGGATGTATGTAATGTGTGTATGGATTGGTTCGACTGTGGACCGAGCGACCCTTCTACAACCTCTTCCCCGGATACCTATAAGGCTAGCTATTGCGTTTCTCTCTCCACAGTTCCGCGCGGGGCACACAACAACCCTCTCTCTCCGTATATTTTTGTTATCCTTCACAAAGGGCGCGAAATCGTCTGCTAAGTTCAGCTGATTGACAGTACAATCAGCGCTGGCGCCTGTCGCCACCGTTTGAGTCCACGAGAACTCTATTGGCGATTGCGTGTTCGAGGGACCATCTTCTCCGAGAACACCTCGGCCGACTGACTTTAGCGCGTTCGGAGGATCCCGAGGTTCTCAAGAGGGAATGGAAAAAGTCATCCCGCTCTCTCGCTTCGTTTGTCAAGCCAGTGGCGCACGATCCCAGACCACTGTCGGCTGCTGAGTTACAAGCCTCAGGATCAGTCCAAGGAGGACTGCCCCGCGCATCCTGAGCTGGTGCAGATGTTATGAGTTGGTTATTGTGATTCGTTCGAAGCCTGGCGTTGGCCAGGTCCGGTGGCTCGTCTAATTCAGCGACCGAAACGGAAACCGCGAGAGAGCGGTGGCGGCTGCTACATCTTCGAGCGACTCGGATTAGGCAAAGGAGTTGATCATCCCCCGCTCGGACAGGCGGACGATCTTCTAGCTTTCGAATTCGGTTGTCTCCGAGCGCTTGACATCAGTCACCGTTGGAGCGAGGATGTCTACACTCAGCGATCTCATCAATAGTGACGCGGTGAAGCGTCTTCTCAGTGACACGTGGGATGGAACGCCCGTGCAGTATATGCATAGATATGAGATCGAGCGATTGCCCCTCACATGTCCCCTCCTCCAACGTCTCGAGCTGCCGGACCGGAACGTTATCATGGTTCAGCCTTTCCGCAAAAACTCCCACAGGAATCACATGACCCGCTCGAAGAGTTCGGGTTCCTCAACGCTGTACATCGATGACGACGATTCGTATGACGAGGGTTGTCTCGCAGAACTGACGGGCTGTCCACTTGAGTGGAACCCCACGTTGAACACCCAGACGATGACTCTGCTGGAATCCCCGCCCTACGACTCGCAGGTTAGCTCGATTTCGAATGAGCGAGGCGAAGGCGCCCTTTCCGCCGAGCGAGGCTGGTTTCGACTCGATGATAGCTCGAATCACTGCATGACACGACGTATGAAAGTCCTGAGCCACCGTGCCGGTGGGCTTTTGATGGCAACACAATAAATCCTCTTCGGCGCGCTCTAATAATACCCGATGTGATCCGCGTTCACAAACCTGAGGCGAGCCGATCCGATACAGTGTACCTCTGCCTGCATGCTCTCGAGCGAGAGCCTAGTACCTCCGATCTCTACGTTGATTAGCGGCATTTCAATCGGTAGATCGGCGTTTTTACGCTTGGTCCGTCGACTCCCACGGGCGAAGTTGTCGTATAACGTCTCCAGTGCTCCACCCGACGTCAAAAATCACGACATCGCTCAAAGTCATTTCATTTTTCCCTTTCAGATTAACTCGCCTTGCACCCCAGGAGTCGCTCCCTCGTCCTTCCTCCAAGGTTCGGCAACGAACGGATCTTCGGCAAATCCGAGCAATTCAGTAATGAGCCCTCTCGTTCAGCTACGCGCTCTTCCCGCGGACGAGGCATCGTCCGTACTAAATTCGTTGAGCAGTGTGTTGGCCAACTCAGTGGCGTCCACCCCCGACGGCCCTCCTCGACAGGTGGGTCAAACATTTTCGGTAATCCCGAGTCGTGGACGAAAACTCGCTGAGTATTCCGTCGCCGTTGAGGATTTTGAGCGTGCTTCTCCAGAACGCTCGCACAGCGAGTGTCCATGGAGCTAGCTCGATAAGATGAGTCGAATGGCAGATGTTCCTCAGGGCGAACACGTTCCCGGTGGCTGCCGATGGAAAAGGCCACGACACACTCACTGTCGAGGCGAACTAGGTCCAGAACGTGGAAGAAGTTTACAAGTCGCGTGACAGCGCTCAAAGGATGCGATAGACGGGCGAACTCCGCGAGCTCTCCAAAAAAAAAGGAATAAGATCGAACGATCATGCAGAAAGACTCGAAGACGTGAGAGACATTGTCAACGGGGTCCGATTGAGACTTCGGTCGAATCTCCAACGAGACAGCGTATCGACATCTTTGAGAACGCCGTCTTAAGTCGAGTATTCCGCCGATATTTCGTATGGTTCGTGGTTTCGTGATGGAAGAGAAAAACGAGCGATGATGTTCCAGGTTCCTCCCGTTTGGATTCCGTGCGACGGTGCGGATCCGCAGTATACTGCCTTCCTAGGACAGCACCGGGCAGAAGGCGTTGCGTCGCGTGTTGTTGTTACGTGCAGGGGTCCTGTTGAATCAAAGGTAGGCTGTCATTCAGGCCTAGACGAATCAATCCGCCAGTGGGATGACGACCGATACGCCGGTCGGCGTGATGAATATTCAACAAGCAAGGTGATCGCGAATTCCGTTCCAGGACTTGCCGACGTATGGCTGCATTTTACGCAAGCATTTCTGGGGCCTCTCCCAACATCATTGCCACACCACTACTCAGCTTTCCTCACGCTATGACGTCCTCAATATTTACTCACTTTCCGAGCCCCGGTTCGCATCGAGTGCGAACGACGTGATGCAGGTATGGATCGGAAGATCGAAGCCCTTGGTTCCTTCGTCCAACTCACACATGGCTTGTCACGAATCCAACTCAACAATCCGGCGGTTGTTGCTCGGAGCTCTGAAGGCTCCCATGGCCACGATATCGTCAACGAGCGTTTTTTTCTTCTCGTCTTCCAGATCGATTGCTGTTGGAATGGCCGGGCTACGCACCTGCTCCAAGGGCCTGTGATCGACGCTGTTTGCCACCTGACCGTCCAGATTTCTCCGGGGAACGAGAAATCACCGTGTCGATCGATTTATAAAGAATTAGTACATTTGCAAAATCTGGTAAATTGCCTGAGTTCAGGAGAGATGTCGTGGCAGAAAGATTTCTCATCACCGCCCTTCATGGAGAAAGTGAAAAACGTCTGTAAGGTGAGCCCCTTCTCCGCTCTATTCTTCTGTCGCATCAGCTGTCTGCATCGCCGCCAGAGTGAGAGACTGGATCTTAGACGGAGCGATTGTTCCACAGGGGGCTCGGACAGGGGCGATAAAGCCTACCAACAACGTCAAGCAATCTGCTCTTGACGCCGCTTGGGACATGGCTGATTTCAACATCTGTATCGAGACAGTGGTGGCATCGAAGCGGCAAGCCGTAGACTTCACCGACGAGCTCTGGACGGTGATCTACGGCTGCGCGAACTATCAGGAACTAAAGGACGCGCTCTCCTACGTATTCAATCAGGTCTGAAAATGAGTCTGGAACGAGTCCTCCCAAATAGGGATCGGCGGCAGAGAGCGCTGACTAGTTTCGACCATTATCGACAATACGCAAGATTTAGTGATATGTTGTTCCCCGGGTGTTCCCTCGCCGTGCTCAGCGAACCCGTCAATCCGGTAATATATGAGACCTCACAATCTCTTTTCGATCCCCAGGTGCAGAGCGGACAGATAAAACCTTACATCGCGCCGAATAACAACACGCAAATGGCTTCAGTACTTCGCGACATGTCGGCTCAACTGTGCTCCGAGCCTACGCTTCAGGGTGTAGCCCCCCTGACCCTGGTCGCTGAGATGGGTCTGCAAAAACTGCAACGAGATTATCTCCACGTTTTCAGTGGATTGGAATTAGCCAGTGCCGAACAGCTTTCCCCCTTTTTCCGGGGCACAGGTCCCTTGCGTGGACTGACGGAACTGGGTGCCGCAGTTTCGGAGCTTATGAAAGTCCAAGCTGTGCTGGACATGGTGATGCTTTGCAAAACGAATCTCCACCTCCCTATCCACTACCTCAGCGGGTACGCTCGCGAAGCCCTCAAGCAAAGCGGTCAAGCTGAACCGAAGCCGCCGCAGCAGCCGCCTGCAGCTTATCACCGGTTCCGCTTCCCTCTCAAAGTTGCACTCGTCAGAGCTATTCTGGATTCCCTGCCGCCCACTGAGTGGACAGCTTCGATCAAAAGTCGGCAGGGCGCCTACACCGCGCACACAATCACCCATATATCTCAACGGGCGCCATTCCATCATCTCAGCCGGGACACGACCTACGAGGCTCACTACAACCCTCGAGACCCAGATTATTTCTGCACGCTTGTCAGCTGCACGCAAGACAAGCTCCGATGAGTGTAACGCTTCAACGTACAGCTCTGTGGGTGACGACGGCGAGAAGTCGTCACTCACACCTTTGAAACTCTCTTCGAAAGCTTCAGATCACGCACGAGCGCAAACCAAAGTTCGCGTGCATTTCAAACGTCTCTACGCTCTCTCCCCATGAACGCTGTTAGTCGCTCGTCTCTCGATCTCACCGTGAATCCGGTCTTCTTTGAATAATTTTGATCTCCCGTTTTACCGAGCTGGGCTCTTGGATCGCGTTCTCCTCGAACCGAAGCCCGTAGTGAATTCTGGTTGATTATTATTAATTACCCACGGGAGTGCTCACGGTACTCCGCTCCTCGCAACTGGAACCGTCGGGCATTGCTCCCGAGATAGATTTTCGCCTGTCCCCTCGTTTTCCGACCCCCTCGGAGCGAAAACCGACCTGAATATTTCGGCAGAAGCCGTGCCGACAATTTCTGTCGGAACTGGCGACTCGGACGGATCGGTGGAAAAAAAACGGATCGAGTATTCCTTTCATTTGATGAAGGGAGCGTCGAACGGGGACGACATCTGTGAATCAAAGTCACAACTTATAAGTGATCGAACCCGGTTGTGAAAAAAATTAACTGAAATACCGGTCCATGTCTTCAGATGCGCTCTCATTGAACCGCGCTCTCTACCGACACGGACAGCAGCCTTTCACTCTTCGATAATGTCGCCTCGAAGTGCTGGATAGAAACAACAGACAGTATGTCCGACATTGACGGTCGAGCTCGAAGAAAAGCATTCGGAGCCGATTTCGAACCGAGTCCGCGAGCCAAAATTCAAGTGCGAGAGAATTTTTCTCCTCCACTTTGATCATGGAGCTTCGACAGACCGTCCTGAATTTTCCTATCCGCTGGGTTCTACGACGCTTTTTCCCTCGACGTTTACTTGTCGGCGCATCTCAACCTGTCGACGTTGAAGTGTGGGCAGGTGTTGCCGACCCATAGATGAATCGATGCGCTAAGTCCGGATTAGGCTCAGCAATCGTTCGAAAGGTTCTACGTATGTAGTACCCTCATGGGCATCCAGTTCTTAGCATGCCACAACATTTGTAATGACTGTTGAAAGATGTGAGAAGTCTGAATGCTGGAGTGTGTTACGTTGGTCACTTTTTCGCGCAACCCGCATTGTACAAAGTACCTTTACCCTATACTCGCTGCTGGACACTCTTTCCATTGCGTAGGACAAAACTCGAAACTCTATATCGTTCAGTACCAACGATACCCACATAGATACAGGAAACAGGGAGAGTGAGCTACCGCCGAATTTGGAGGCTGCATTGCATTTATTCAATTTCGTTCTCGGATAGTTTCGAAAAAGAGCTCCAACGAGTACTCCTGGAGTGGCGACTCCGGCGTCGTTCGAAGCCAGTTTAAGGCGAACGGCTAGCCGTGTGACCTCGGGACGGAACACGTCGGACGATGGTGTATTTTGCGCCGTGGCTGATTACCATTCAATGTACAGAACGAAACGCGTTTCATCAGGCCTAGAGAGAGATGATTTTTCGCCTGAGTTGGGGAAAGAAATTAACGCGAAGGGGAGACTGCCATTCTATTGTTGATCAGTGATCAGATGGGGGAGTCGCAAATCATGTGGACTCGGATCAATCCTAACGACGATGACCACCTCCGGTGATCGCCCAGGGCTTCTCTCGATAAGACATTGGTTCTTTCCGAGAGTCCGAGCTCGACCGGAAGAACACCACAGGATTGAAGTGTTTATAGAACGATCCACAAAGTGAACCGCTCAGATTATTTTCAGCCTTGTTCAGTTTTTGAGGTTTTGCGGCTTCCTTGTCACTGGGCCGGGAATGCTCCCGGGAGCTGACGGGTTGATTCCGATACGCCTCCTCAATTCATATGAGCGAGGGCCTCTCCGTGATTGTCGCCATTTTCAAGGACTAGCAATAATTATTTTATCGAGAGAATTTAGATGCTCCAATCGGCGATATTCAAGTCAGGGCTAAACAATCCACGAACTTCTCGGCAATGCTGAGACCGATGTCTGGGAGGAGCCCGGAGGATTATAGAGAAGTCCTAGCGCGACACTCTATCTTCCAAGACTGTCAGCCCTACTGCCCTATTTGAAAGTCGAGGCACGGACCCAAACCTCACTCGAGCGCGGACGCAACTTGATCTCAATCGAGATGAGGAGACCGTAGGAAATTTATCCGGATAAAATTCCGGCTGAGATGAGGCCTGACTCCTTGCTGATTCTTAGAATGTGCCAAGTATTTCTCTACACATTGATTATTATCATTGATCCGATTTCGATTTCGATTATTATCTGGATCTCGATAGGTTCGCTAAGGTTTGCCGTGCGTTATGACTAATTCTCGTCAGACCGATCAGCTATCAAATTCATCCGTTCGTCAAGAGTTGCAGCCGCCGAAAGTCATAGTCGTAGACTAAGAAGCTGTATCAACCCGAGGGAGGAGCGCTATCGCTAACGGAACGCATATCGAGTCATGCTGTCCCATATTTGCTGGTTACGTGATGATCATTCATTCTAACGCCGAAGCCGCTCTGATCTGATAGCCGCCGCTCTGATTGATGAGTCGAGCACGTACGTGTGGTTGAGGGTAAATTTTGGGTACATTCTCGGTCTAGTCAATCATGATATTGGAGGAGACGAGGCGGATTCTGTGAATATTTCTCGCTGATTTTTCCCTCAATCCTAATCATCTAACCGGGCCAATCGAATGACCTATGAAATTGATACCTCACGGCAGCGTTCCCGTCGATCAGTCAGTAAGCAACTTCGGTGTTGAAATTGAGGCGCTATGCAAATTTCTCGGATGTGATCATGTGATCCATATCAAACTCAACGGACGTATGACGATGGTACGCCGAGCCCCATTAAGCTATAGTTTTGAAGATATCAATCAATTATAGGCCAAACTAAATCGTGAGGGTTTTCGGGCAGTCGTTCGCAAAGTATCAATAAGGAGATATCGAAGCGGAACCCCACAGTGTACCATATAATGATCATAATACCATCATGATTCGAGGACGACTCTCGATAAGCTCCATTCGGTCTTTCCAGCGGCACGTGTTTGAGTGGCGAGCCATAACGGTCCCTCGAATGATAAGCTGACTTTGAATTCGGTTAAAGATGTTCAGTTGACTCGAGCGGCATGTCTCATAGAACCCCTCAATGGATAGCAAGCTCCATGTGAGCCCCTCGGCTTGACTCGTTTCCGGAGGACTCCGGCTCGGAAGACGCCGCGACGAGAGGGAGCAAGCGTCGCCAGCAGACAACCGCGACTTCACGTTTTTGAAGTATTAGCGCCTAGTCTGGATGATATCCCGGATCCGTCACGTATTGTTCTCGGCCGCATCGAGAAAAGTCCGAGTTTGGCTTCGGCGAAGGATCGAAATCCATTGGAAACTGACACGACGTCAAAAGTCAGAGGATCTCAGCCGGCAAGTGGGAATCCGGGCGTGATTGTGGTTGAACAAGTAAAGCAATACGTCAACCCTTGGTTTTTCATCGACTCCACTTAACTTTGGTTCACTTTTGAATCAGAAGGTCATAGCATGCGTATCATGACGTCAGACCGACGCACCGATCATGAGCATATTCCCACTCCATTTTGCGTTTAGGAGCGCCAATGGGCTTGATAAGATAGGAATCTAGATCCCGAATAGAGCTCAAACCACTTGACTTTCGTGCCGCTCAAGGAGCTGTGATAGTGTCAACAGAAAATTTCTATCGGTTCTGCTAGCGATACACGAGCTTTTCTCCGGCGATCCGGACGTTCGGATCGGTCAGTTTCGCTGATGCGTAGACTTACCTGAACAGGGGACGCAGAGATATTCTAGGACACGCTTCTCGTATCATCAGTGGAAGCTCTTTCGATATCCTCTTTATAAATTGTATCAATACAATCCGCGAGGGATGTCCAGAAGTGCCCGGCTGCAGTCGGGTAGGCTGCGGGATGCTGACACCTCTAAGGCGTCGATAGGCGAGGAACGTCCCTCCTGAAGTTGTCGAATCGAGAAAAGAATCGTCAAAAAACGAACTGGAAAGCCCCACTGTACTTTGCTAAACTCAGTGTTTGAACGAGGGCCGATAACAATGAAGAGAATCGGCTGTAATCATCATGGTGGAATGACAATAAAAAAATAGACATTTGCTCGTTACCTCATAGCCGGTCGCGTGCTTTACTTTCACTATGACTTACTTCATTGAAGCTACCTAAATACCTCGATCGTTCCGTTTCGATATTGCCGGAGGCGCCGAAGACCACAGTTTCCTCGTTTCTATTTATGTTCTTATCTAAGGCCCCGGATGCTCCTTTTTTTTCTCACATTTGTCATTCATCACCATGTGGCACCGATGCCTTTCCGAACGTCGCTGCAAACTAAACCAAGAGGACTGCTTCTTCATTCAGTGTTCTTCTTAGAGATTATCGCAGAATGAGAACTCATAGCGTATCCAGTTGCCGCCGCGATTTCTCCATCGAGCACTCCGGGGGAGTCAAAAAATCTGGAGCAGCTCGAGGCGATCGAGATGCTCAGCTGGGGAGGTATTCTGAAGAGAGCGAAAATCGAGGAGAGAAGTTTGCAAGCAGGCCCAAACTCGGGATCCATCATCCCCATCCATAGATAGATCAGGATGCAGCGTGTCCAATGGGATACGGAGTTGCCCAACGATACCAAGAGTTCCAAGGCAAAGACACATTGCCCGAGTTTCGGATAATTTGAATGAGTCTCGGCAAGTTTCCATTTGAAATTGAAAGTTTCCTGCCCCCGCGACAGCCGGGATGCGAAGCCATTCGCAAGGGCATATGAATAATTCTTCTGTTGAACTCGAATTGCTCATGATGGAAGCGGATCGATGCAAGCAGCAGAAAGGTATAAGATAGTAGGTCTGCGAGATACTCCCGACCCATGCGATGTCCGATCTAAATTCGTGAAATCAGACGACGGAATGGATTCTACAATATCATCGTCATTTCCAATACGGACAGCAGCAGCATTGGTTCCTCACGACAGGGCTCCGGATATACATTGTTACGACGGGGAGCACACGCTGAATGAGATGAGACAAAACGATCAGTGACGAAACGATTCTCCTACCTAACTGGCGGTACGAACTCGCGAAACTTTTAGGTGACAAGGTTCTTTCGCGACTCTCGGTAGTTGACCAACGAAATTTTGGTAAGATGAAAGACGCTTCTACATCACGCATACATATAATGGTGATTTTCTGGCGCCAGATACTGGAGTTTATAAGTGTGGGAGAATTTGCCGAAGCGAAACAAATCGTGCTCGCATCCGGCTGGCATAGATCGACTCCGAATGAGGCGCCAGACGAAACTCAGATGGAACTCGATATGGGGGTAGGCGTGACGCGAGCTCGAAGCGGATTCATCATGCAAGTAAGTACTTCATCCGGAAAAGTCGATGACGGACCCTCGGTTCAGCATCGAGCTCCCCTGTTGGTCCGTGAAAATGATTCTATGCTTCTCCACCTCATACCTCAAGAGCTTAACTGCCAGACGTTCGAAAAGTTGGCCAGAGCGATCCTCGCTAAGACATCCCTCAAACTACCCTAGAACTTGGTCGTTTCCCTCGTTTCGCCAGGTTGTTTGCCAATATTCGTAGAGCTGGGGGTTCGATCGGTCCAGAGCTCCAGTTCTCTGAGCTGAGCGTTCGAACCCGACGTCTGATGCTGACGGAATGACGGCAGCGGCGACGAAGGAAGCCGCCGGCCTTCGCAGATCTTTGGCACAGAAACGTCGAGCCAGCGACCAAACTGAACGTAAGAAGTGTTAAAAATCATTTGTGATACGAACAGAAACGATATCGAGTCCGGAACTGTTCGAATATTCCCCGCGGTAGACGACCGCTCGTCTTAACCCTTTCCCGGTGACACTGTCGTCGGCATTGTTTTTCAATAAAGACAACTCTCTCGAAAGAGCTCGTACCGAGCATCCGCATCTAAATTGTTCGAGTTTTCGATCAACCGTTCTGGGTCGAACGCAGTACAAATCCGCCCCCTTTCGTTCGTTTCAACATTTGGTGCCGTGGCCTAGGATATCCGACTGATTTGACCCGGAATGGGACTCGAACATTCCCCTGAGAAAACCGATCGCCAGCGCAATGCTCGGCAAAGCGCCGACTCACCGCCGAGTCTCGCTGTTCTTCGCAGCCGAAGAACCCGTGCGAAGACCAGTCTCCAGATTGAAATAGATGCTTTGAAGAAGTTCGAGAGGATCGATGACTCTAACCGTCTCGCGATCTTGAGCGCCAAATCTCGAATCGACGGTCGAGTCGAAGCAATCCGCGAGGTGTGCAGGCAGGCGTCGAGCCACCCGCATCTTCCCGAAAACGAAGTGGAACGGGAATCCGAAGAGGCCGAGACCGCAATCGAAGTGGGAATCTTGGCCAGAGGGATCATCGATGGATTACTCGCAGTAGAGCTGTTCGAGAAGGCCGCCACCTCGTCGTCATGCCAGTCGTCTTCGCCGTCGATCGTTCCCTCCGGCCAGCAAAGTGCCGCGGTCTCTGGCGATGACGTCACCGGCCAATCGCGCATCTTTAGCAGACATCCCTCCGAAGACAGCTCTGGAGGAGCGACAAACACCGAGCAGTCGACGTCAGTGTCCGCCGGGACAAATTGCAACAATCCGAGACTGTATCTGGACACAACTCCAGAAGTGTTCGATGGTACCGTTTCGCGATACAGGTTATGGCGCTCTCAATTCACGAACTACGTGCACAGGAGAACACAAGCAACTGACAGCGATAAATTAGTTGCCATGTGCAAACTTCTCTCCGGTGCACCAAAGAATCTGATCTGTGAACTGCCACTTGTCGACAGCAATTTCGAAGTCGCTCTGCGACTGCTGGATGACAATTACAGCGTTCCGGAGCTCAGGCAACAAGAAGTGATCAACAACACTACGAGAGTGCCAATCGTTCGAAATGTCAACGACACGGTGAGACTGCGCGAGCTCTTGAATGACACCCAGCGGACCATTCTCGCCTTGGAGGGTGTTAATGTACCACTACAGAGCATCGCTCTCACGTATGAGCAAACCATTCGCAATGCGCTACCAGTCGACTTAGTGCTGAATTTCGAGGATCGTCGGACAACGGCTCTGTTGACCGATGATGTTGCCGATGTGAACCAGGCCGCCGCCGCGGCACGGAGACTAGAAGATCTACTCTCGTTCCTCAGAAGATACACTGTTCTCCGAGAGCGAAAGAGTTCGGCCCAGCAGCGAAGTACCGTCGGCGATCAAGCTACACCCTCTTCAGCTGACCCGAAGGTGCCGAGGTATCGCGGTCTGCCCCGAAGGCCTCCAGGCCAACCCCCGTTGTCCACCGCGGCGGCCACGACAAAGAACAATTTAAACAAGGCGTCCAAGACTCGCAGAACGCCGTGTCTCTTCTGCAACAGCTTCGAGCACCTCCCGTCATGTTGCACAGCTGATATCCCGATGAAGCGGCGGTTGGAACTCCTTGCACAGCGCCGACGGTGTGTAAAATGTTTCCAGTACGAACACCTGCCGCCACGTCAGTGCTCGGGACCCCGAGATCCCTGCCGAACTTGTGGCAGCTCGACGCACCACACGGTCATGCACGGACACTTCAGCGGCCCAGCCGATTCCAGGACTACTGCCAGCGTCTTGCAGACAGTCGCGGTGGCCACCAGCGACCGTGCAGTCGTCATGACTGCTACCGCTTTCGTCGTTTTCGGAGACACGAAGATTAAAGTGCGCTGCTTCTTCGACAGTGGATCGATGGTTTCCTTCGTCACTCGCCGACTCATACGCCGGCTCCCGAACATTCCCCCGAAGGCCCGCGTCGATCTTGACCTGCAGGCTTTCGATAGCCAACACGCCGTCACGACGAACCGTTATGATATTCGATTAGTGAGCGCTCATGGCGATTGCGATCCAATTCTCATTCAAGCTCACGAATATGACTTTGGCGTCGACCCTCCGACCAACTGCTCCGAACAAATGCGAAGACTCATTCAACATTTTGGAGCGACGCATCCCCTGGCCGACCCATCTATCGTCAACCAGCTCGACAATATTGCTCCTGACCTCCTCATCGGAGTAGACCAAATGTATAAAATCTTGCATTTGAACAAAGAAACAGTAATCGCCGGGGATCTCGTCGCAAAATCATCGCGTTTCGGCTGGCTCGTCTCCGGATCCTACGGGGCCAACACAACTCGTGGAGACGTTATTCGAGTTCAGCCAGTGTGCTGTGCCGCCACGGTCTCCAAACCAGCAAAGGATCTCGAGCGACTCTGGAGTTTGGAGGCGATCGGCGCTCCCGAGTCGGCGGGGGACCATCTGAGCCTAGTTGAACAAGAGGCTCTCCAGCAGTTCCGAGATGGCATCTCTTACGAGAATCGACGATACACAGTTGCCATGCCGAAGCGCGAGTCGATCGAGCGACTCTCGAACAACGTCGAGATCGCTTTACAAAGATTGTCCGCAAAACGTCGTTCGCTGGCACGCGACCCCGAGTCCTTCCAACGTTACGACAAAGAGATCATGACATTCGTTCAGGCTGGTCACGCCGAGGAGATCTTCGATGTTGATCTCGCGGCTCCCAGTTCTCGTGATCGTAAATTCTACCTGCCCCATCGACAAGTCATCACTCGAGGGATCGATGGCGACAAGTGGCGGATAGTCTTCGATGGGTCATCATCAGCGGCAGGCGAGACCTCTCTCAACTCTCACCTGTTGGCCGGTCCCAATCTCAACCCTGATATTCTCAAACTGCTATTCAATTTCCGACTGCGAGCTGTGGCGCTCTCCGCCGATATCGTCCAGGCCTACATGACCATCAATCTCGCTGCTGAGGATCGCTCGTGGTTTCGCTTCCTGTGGCAGGGACCGGGAGACGGGCGAGTCCGTTGTTTCCAGTTCCTAAGGGTCCCTTGGGGCGCTACATCGAGTGGATTTCTGTTGGCTGCGGTTCTCCGAGAGCATTTCGAGCGAGTCGATCCAACGGCAACCTACAAACTAGGGGATTCTTTTTATTTCGATGACATGCTCCGCAGTTTCAACTCGGAAGATGAAGCAATTCAATTCATCGACAAAATTATCCCTTGGATGCTGCAGGCGGGCATGAGCCTCGGCAAATGGAAATCCAGCTCCCCAACCGTCATGGATCACCTCAGCAGTCGTTCGACTTCACCGAAGGCGTCTGCCACCCTAGTCGAAACTGGGATCCTCAAAGTTCTAGGCATCGCTTGGGCGCCGGCCGAGGATCATTTCCGTTTCCAGCTATCTGATATTGACAAAGTATCAGAAGCCGAAAAACCGATCACCAAGCGACAAGTGCTCCGCGTCGTAGCTTCGATATTCGATCCGGTCGGTTGGCTAATCCCTTTCACATTACGAGGGAAGCTATTGATCCAACAGTTGTGGTCACAGACTCTTCGGTGGGATGACCCGCTCTCTGGCCCGGAGCTCGACAGCTTCCGGAGGTGGACACAAGAGATCCCTACCCTTTCTGCTCTTCGAATCCCGCGTTTGTATGGGGATTCTACCAGGAGGATCTCCGGATATCAGTTACACGTTTTTGGCGATGCCAGCGAGAAGGCTTATGCCGGCGCGGCATATCTCCAGACTTTGTACGTCGACGGAGGCAGCAACTGTTCGCTGCTGATGTCAAAATCACGCGTAGCTCCGAGGGAAAAAATTTCCCTACCGCGCCTCGAGTTATTGGCTGCTGTGCTGAGCGCTCGCCTGAGGGCTTTCGTCGTGGAAAGACTGGATGTGAAGCTCGACAAGACGACTCACTACACTGACTCTGCGGTAACTTACTATTGGTGCATCGCTGAGGACCCCACACGATGGAAAACATGGGTCTGCAACAGAGTCATGGAGATTCAGAAGCTCACATCCTCCAACGAGTGGTTCCACGTCGAGGGAAAGCACAACATCGCCGACATCGCATCGCGGGGGGTTTCGGCCGAAGATCTCATCTCAAATTCGGAATGGTTCGGGGCTCCTTCATGGCTTTCGGAGCCTGGGGATCGTCGTCCGGTGAAACGCCTGCGGGCCGGTTGTGACGAAACGGAGTCCATTAGTAAGGAACTTCGACTGGTTGTCACTCCCGCGGTCGTAACACCGGCATTGATTGATCTTCAGCGCTTCAGTGGCTGGGAGAAGGCCATCCGCGTGATGGCGAACGTGCTTCGTTTTGTCCAGGTCTGCCGCCGCCGAGATCCCGTTCCAGATGCCGAGCTTCGAGCACAGTCGGAGTCGCTTATCATCAGGTGGACGCAAGCCGCCCACTTCCGGAATGAGATAAATGCTACCCTGGCCCAAGAGCGCCCAGCGCGAACCTCGAAGCTGAGTTTGTATCGCCTACATCTGGATCAGAGCGGCATCCTCCGCGCTCAGTCTCGACTAAGTGCCTCTGATCAGTTCACCCATGATGAACAGAACCCCATCATAATTCCGGGGGAGAGCCGGCTTGCAACCCTGCTCATACTTCATCACCATCGGCTCAATGCCCATTTAGGTGTGAGCACAATCCTGAATGCTCTGAGACGACGCTTCTGGATTTTGCGCGGCCGGCAAGTCATCAAAAAACTCATTCGGGGATGCGTTGTATGCAACCGAGCACACGGGCCAACTGCTGATCAAGTCCAACCACCCTTACCAGTCGAGAGAGCCTCCATCGTCGCCCCTTTCGCAACTACTGGTGTGGACTTTTGTGGGCCCTTCCATACTCGCTCCCGGGAAGGCACCATCAAAAACTACATTGCGCTTTTCACGTGCACCAGTATCCGAGCAATCCATCTCGAACTGGTCCCCGACTTGACGACAGTTCAGACGCACCTTGCCTTGCGTAGGTTCCTAGCAGAACATCCTGCCTGTCGCAAATTTATATCGGACAACGGCCGATCCTTCGTTCGGGCCGCTGCAGACATTCGTCGTCTGTTCGGTGAGACACGCAACCCTCAAGTCCGTGAGCTGCTCGCTCAGCACCGAATCGAATGGACCTTTGGCTGCGCTCGCGCCAGCTGGCGAGGCGGATTCTTTGAGCGTTTGGTTGGCCTTACCAAGAGATGCCTAACCAAAACTCTCGGCCGATGTCTAATAAGTTCGGAAGAGTTCCGAACCATAATCCGCGAGCTGGCGGCCACCATCAACAATCGACCACTGTCATACGCCAGCAACGATCTCGACGAGGCTCGAGCCCTCACTCCGGCGCAGTTCTTGCAAGGCGGACCACCTGCTTCACCCTTGTGCGCCTCAGTACCGCTGGATGCCCTGGGACCGAATGGATCGATCCCTGACGCACCACCGGGAGAAGAAAAACTCCGTCAAGCTCTATTGGAACGGACAAACTACTTCAAATCTCTTTCGTCGCGTTGGCAGAAAGAATACTTGTTGCTCCTCCGTTCGGCAAATCTCGATCGGAAAGGAAAACCCCGACCGTTGAAGGACGACTCCATCTGTCTACTCAAGGAAGACTCCGTCTCACGATCCAAATGGCATTTGGTTCGCATACTCCGAGGGAAGCCTGGCCGAGATGGCGCTGTGAGGACGTATGCCATTCGCTTCTCGAATGGATTCGAGAGCACCCGGGCTGCTCAGATGCTGATCCCTTTAGAGGTCCCCAATCAAATGGACGATACCCTCGATAACGAGGCTGAAAACTTGTAAAATATCCCCAATATTTGTGCTGGAACCTCCGGTTCCAGGGAGGCAGTGTTAAAAATCATTTGTGATACGAACAGAAACGATATCGAGTCCGGAACTGTTCGAATATTCCCCGCGGTAGACGACCGCTCGTCTTAACCCTTTCCCGGTGACACTGTCGTCGGCATTGTTTTTCAATAAAGACAACTCTCTCGAAAGAGCTCGTACCGAGCATCCGCATCTAAATTGTTCGAGTTTTCGATCAACCGTTCTGGGTCGAACGCAGTACAAATCCGCCCCCTTTCGTTCGTTTCAACAAGAAGAAAGGATCCGTCTGACTGGCAAGGGCCGCGGCTATGTGCAGCCGAAAGACGCAACTGAAAGACGCAGCCAATGAATAGCAGCGGTAGCCACTTCGGCTCCGGACGCGACGCTGAAAGTTATTTTACTTGTGCCCGACTGTGAATTCTGGACTCGAATCTAACTCCGATTAGTGGAAATGTCGTCTACTGCTGTGGCCACACCAGTGCCGGATGAAATCCAGCTGCCGACCGAGGTGAGTCGACTCCGGCGAGAACGACTCGCGCCACTCGTGACCACAGCTGATCTGGGTTAAGCAATGTGGGACTCGATGGAACTTTAACGGGAGCGAATACCTTGGGACCTACATTCATACGGGAGAGCCAGAGCAAAGTCCGAGGCTACAATACGGTGCATTTCTAAGGTTTCGAAGCATTCCTGCTATCATGGTTAAAAGTTCAAGTACATCGTAACCCCTTCACAAGCAACAGCTGATGTATCCGTGATCTTAGTTAATGCGGGGTTTTCACGGTTCATACGTTCCATTCGATTCTCTCTTTTGTCCGAAGTGATCGATTACAAGGCGGAACACATGACGCTCCTGTCGTATGTTGTACTGGAATGATACGAACAATCCGGGAGAAATCCGCCGTGCAGGGAGATCTGTGCCGCGAAAAAAGACTTTTTTTTCAAGTTGTTCTTCAAGTTTTTTTCTCTAAAATTCGTTTGAATGTGAGTCTTGTGTGGAAGCGGATGCGGAAGTCCCGTTGGATGTGCGCCCGAAGTCGTGTCGTGATCTTCGACTCAGAGTATGGCAGTAGCTTCAGACATCCCTGTGAACGAATTCCCTGCGAAAGTACGAGAGTTCGCAGGAACCGGGGGAAAAGAGGCCACCGATATGGAAGGATCAAAAGCGATCATTTCACTGAGCCGGATGTTCGCTGAGGCTCTGGAGATCCAGAGCGCGGTCAACAGCATCCAGAACACTACTGGCGCCACCACTTGCATCGCTCTGACCCACAACATGTTGGAGCATCGGTCATTGCCATGACGTTGCCATGAATTTTTTCTATATTCCCCCTCGTCTTCATCCCGGAAACCTGTTCTCTTTTTGAAAAGCGAAAATCACTTCTCGTGTTTCGGACGGTGCCTCCACTTTCTTGATCTGACGATCTGTCTCGGCTTCGGCGTTTATCTTAGGCGCGATGTCAATTCGCCGGGGCCTATCTATGCTACTATGATGCGTGAATATGAAGCCGTCAATGACCAGGCTGGAGCGTCGACCCGAAGCCAGCGGGTTCGAGAAAATCATAATGAAATCTTCGGCTTTCTCTTTTTTTCGAAACCAAAAGATTTCTCAAGCTCATCGGGACACGTCTGATTCTTGGCGTGGCTAGCGTTGGATCACGCTATTCGGCCGTATTTACCAAAGTGTGTTTATGTCTGACCAAGGAGTTGCGCCGGACGATTTCATCACTGCAGCGAGCATCACCTTCAGTGGCAGTTTTAGTAGTCGCCGCAGCAGCAGCAGCAACGAAAGTGGCGGTACCTGCCTGTTGTTGAAGTAGTAGAAGTTGTAGTCAGGGTTGCAACAATTGCGGCCCGCCGACACAGCATCAACAACCAGAGGTAGCGATAATAATAGAGGTGGAAGTGTTCTTAATATCACCTCTGACGGTTGCTACTGCGTAGCTGCTGGTGCAAGGAAAACGAAGTAGAATAACTCAAGCGCTCAGATCGATCTCATGCTCCCGCGGACTTCATCCGGGCAAGGCCTCCATTTTAGCTCCGAAAAAAGCTGAACAAGCCCCTGGAGGAGCTCGAGGAGATAATTGCTCGAAAACCATCGAGATCCCTCAGTAACCTGAACGTCTAGCCCTATGACGGATCGATTATTTGGGTAATCTGTCGACAGAATGATGAATGCTCGGGATTATCGTCCTATAGAAGGCTGAAGTCGCACCGTGCGACTCCTGATCCCCTGAAGTAAGGATCAGAAGTTTCGCAAGACAAGCGACGGCCATGTCGAATGTTCTAGTTCAAGCTTGTCAGCTTTTCTGTACGATGACGTCTGATCCCCGCGCTTCGTGTCAAGTACGTACGACGACGGCAGCAGACGCGATCGCAAGCTTCCTTCCAACTCGGATGAACGAGTAGAACCATACGAGCGTAATGTCGCACTCGAGGCGCGGATTCGGAAGCTTCGACGAAGAAGGGGAAGCGCACTCACCGGCTGGGACCGCCATTCCTCGACGGTCGCCGTCAGATCGAGGCAGAACGGTCGGGCTAGACATAAGCACGCGTTTCTTCGATATGCGGAACTAGAAAATAGCCTTCAGCCTTCTTGTCCATCCCGATGACCCGCTCGCTCCCCGACTGGTTATCCGGGTGTCTGGCCGCCAGTCAGTCAGCCAGCCAGCCAGGCAGCCGATGCATTCACTTGCAAGCCGGTTCAAAAACGGCTCGATTAATCCGACCGTACAATGCACAGCCGTTCGCCTGGCGGTTCCGATGCGATGGGGCAATCGGAGGCGATTCGCGCGTTGTTGCTGAAACTGAATTTCAAAAACAGCGTCGACGGAGACAGCCGCGGTAATATTCCGCGCTGGGAACTTTAGAAAGCCGATATTGCCGGATAGCTGAAATGTTCCGCTTTGTAATGAGAAGTGGCGCGACTCAGCACGGTTGTAGTCGTGTGGTGTCCCGACTCAGCAACATCACCTGGATTGTCGCTACTCCCTTGGATAAACTTCATACTTCATCATGTTGTATATCGAAGTCTTCGCACGTGTACACACCGTCCTCGCGGATTTCTGCTTCACGGTCGTAGACGGCAGGGAGCGGCTTAACAGAACGTCCCCAAACCCTTGACGTACGTTTTCTTCTGGATTACGCAATCAGGTCATCGGTGGCGGTGCCCAGATAAGATAAACTTTCACCACGTCACCCACCAAACGGCAATGACAGCCGCCGTCGCCGCAACCGTCTGACTGACAGTCATCATCGACAACAAAATCTAAGCCAAAACGATGGGACCATCATCAAGTGTAAACATATCATAATTGATGAACTGCGGCATCTCTCAAAGTCGTCGCTAAGCGAGGTAGCGGAACTGAATCCTGATCGATCAATCGCTCGCTCCACTAGATGTTCGTACATACGATACGCGAAGCTTCCGATGAGCATTCGCATCGCTGCAGCCTGGCGACCAACTCTGCCGCCCCGTCTGGAGGAATTGGGTGGGGGACCCTCGTGAGAGTCACGCTACGTTTTGTGGAGTGGTCGAAGACGACATCGTCTGGTCCCTATGTGTCTGCCTGCGATGCCATGACGGCAGCGCGGCTCCGACGACGACTAGCGAACCAATTGGCCTACATTTAGATGATGCCGATTGCGGTATCGCCGGCCTCGTCGTCGTCGTCGTCATCATCATCATCGTCGTCCGTCGTTTGAATCGATGCCATGAAGCCTCATGGAATACTTTCCCTCTCTTGCCAAATTCATGACGTGGCGTAATATGGTTGCAGTCGCTAATCCTTTACAGGTGAACTCCCGAAAGGGAGCCGACGAGGGGGGAGCCGGTGGGAAATCGGGTGGGATACGAAAAGCTCGGAAACTGTTGCCGCGGGTTTCAAGAGCAGCGAGCCGCTCTGGTCAGCACGGCGGAAAGCGGCCCCGGCATCAACACAAGCAACGGCGGTAGTGCGTAGCGTCTATCGAAGATGATCATCTTTTTCCCTTCTTCTGCGTTCGTCGACTTCGGCGTGGAGCACCGACGAAACAGTAACCACGAAAGAAACCGTTACGCGGAGACGCCAGCGAAGCAGCGAGCGAGCCAGTCAGCCAACCAGCCAGCCGAGCGACCGAAAGATGTTGCCGTGTGCCACCGGTCGCTCGCTTTCTCGGCTAACGGAGACAGTCGTGGTTTCGCTTTTACCGATTAGCCAACCGGCCGGCCGACTGACTGACTGACTGGCTGGCTGACGAGCGGCAAACAAAACAAGGAACAAGAAACGCAAAAACCTAGTGCCGTTGGAAAAAAACGGGAGCCCGCTCCCCCTCACTCCACCATAGTGATAGATCGGATGATGAATCCCACGGTGGAAGGAGGCGAGGGTCGAGCCATGATTTGAAAATTACTCCGAGGTAGGGATCTGTCTCCGCGCGCAGCGAGGAATGGAAGAAGTCTCACGATTCAAGTGCGATGTCTTCGCGAGAGTCGTACCGATCAACTTCGCACGGTTCTGTCGCGAATCCGTCGGAATCCCTGACGAGGGTCCCTCGATCGAAAGGTATCGAGCCATCGGAAGCATGATCGGGATCACTGAGGGCACTCTCCAACGACGTCCAGAGAGGTATCCTCGGCGTTCCAGACGAGCAGATGCGAACTCCTCTATTCGGTCGCAGGAGAGCCGACATCGGAGGTCTGCATGAAGAGCATCCTGGTCTAGTTCTTAAACTTGGCCTCAATGCCGTTTCTCTGGGCAAGGTCGCTCAGAACACTGTTGCACAAGCCATGAGCATAGAGATCGATCAGAAACATCGATGAGGCAGATGGAAATCGGAAAAATCTTGAAACACTCGAACTTAACGGAGCGACCAGTCTTCCGCTTGTCAAGGCTGCCTTCGATCAAAATTTTATTCAATAATTCCTTCTGTGTGGACTGCCCCCGCTCAATCGACTCCGGATAGAGATTTGAGTGACCGGGCACTGACGATTGTGAATGGTGTCTCCGCAGCGAAGTTCATGGTCTCGAACCATCACCGGATGGAGTTCTGATGGGGCTCTTGGCTCGGATCGATGTGACTTCTCCCCGGCGCACCCGGGAATCCCGCTAGGCATGGTCTGGGGCGATATTCATGAAGGACGTTTTCACGCAAAAAATTCCGAGTACAAGCGACGAGTGTAATACGAGAAGGTGATTAATTTCTGGAGGAAGAGTCTCGCTCATGGTGTGAGCGGCTAATTTGCAGAAGAAGCTTTCCTCAAACAGAAAGGGAGACGCTATCATGGCTGAGCACGCTTTGAGTGGCCAGTTATAGAAATCTCGACAGTCTGCGGAGTAGCGACAACGAGCTCTCTTCACCGGGAAATGCATTTTTAAGAAAACGGATGTGAACGAGCGGACACCTTCTACTTCAAACGCCGTCAGCTCGCCAGAGAGAAATGGTCGACAGATTAAAACGAGAGAACGACTAACAGAGAGACGACCAAGGCGTCGACGTCGTTGCCAGCGCGGCTGCCACGACGGAAGA